GTCAACAACTCACTGTGCGTTTAGAGTTAACTCTCCATTACAAATCTCGTAATTATAACGTAGAATGTTCATAAAGCATGATAATTTGAAAAATGTATCTGTAATCTCTATCTACAGGTTGACACCACGATGAGATCTCGCACTACCTTAAAATCTTTCTAGGGCAGCCTTTGGTTCGGCCCGTGGAAGAAGTTTTCTTCCTAATTTAGCCCGGGGGCAAAAACTCTTGCCCACCCCTTGTCTAGGGGGGTACCTTCCAGGAGGATTTTTAAAAGGAGACTGGCTTCTATTTCGGCATTACAGACGTGGAGAAAACCCGAAAAACTTTACGTGGCCAGGCTGTCCGAGCGCTCGACCAAAACTCAGTATAAAATCAGTATAAGTGTGAAATGAAGTGTTGCAATAATTGAAATGACTGTCTCTCACTATTAATATTCTGCATTTCTAAACCTCCTCTTAACATCGTCATAATATAAAAATATACGTTTATATTCCAAACGTTAATTTTGAGGAGAGATTAGTTTTATACATTATAAATGCTAAGGACGAGTAACAAAATTAAGTACGTCATCACTTGAAATTCGATAATGCACTCCCTCGACCTTTATCCACTCAAATTTAATGGCATTTATCTCCCTAATACACGAACTCGCTAAAAATTTCAGAGATTTGCTGGAAAGCAAACAGAAATTATAAAGCTGTAAACTGGATGTACGAAATTACCTTCCGAGATACATCCAGGAAAGAAAAAACGAATTTCTAAATATACTTTGTCTGTTTCGATAAGCATTTAGTCATTTTTTATAATGTTTTCCTTTTAGAGATTTAATATAAATTTATATTATAAACATTAGTTTTAGATTGAAAATTATTCCATCCATATACAGTACAGCTTTTATCATATCAGCGCTGGTTACAAAGTAGTATGTGAAAACTCAAACAAAATATGACCACACATATTTTAAAAATTCAAAAACTAAAATTAATTTTTATTAAAAATGTAGAAAAAATATCAAATAATTACTACTACAAGTAGTCATTAGTACAGTATTTTTCAATTGTTTTTATTATTAATATAAAGTCGTTTTAACAATAAGTGATAACTTACATTAATAACTTGAAAATTTACACATTAATATAAAAAAATTTTCCGAATAAAATAAAATCCGTAAATTTTAGGCACTATCATAAAAACATTAAACAGAGCTACGGGCTTTCCTTCTTTCCGGAAGTTTCTCCATCCTCTGATTCTTGAGAGTTGTTCGTAGTCGACTTTGTGGCCATCCACTCCTCCGCCAAACTCTCGATTACGGCCACGTGATACGCGTCTCGAGATTTCACTTTCCCTGGTCCCGCAAACTTTTCTTTGTAAAGCATGTAGCTATTCAACGCCATTCTGGCTATGACGTTGAACGCTAAATTCTTCCAATACTTCATTGATTTACTTTTATCATAACCTGTATATAACACCATATCGGATATATCGACTCCACTCATATATTTGTTATAATTTTGAATTATTTCTGGCTTTATTTTAGCCTTTCCATTTCTAATTATTTCTACATCTCGTGCCCATGCGTGGCTAGATAATATAAAGATAGGGTTCATTTGTGACTGCTTCTCTTTAAAGCCGCAGGCTAACAAGGGACCAGATCGGAAATACGATGTTTCTTTGTCTGCAAAGTTCTTCTTGAACTGTTTGGGTAGCATTTTCTGGTTCCCCCGAACAGTTCCAGTGACATAAGTCTGTAGAGAATACAAACGGTGAACAAGGGGAACCGACATGAAACATCTGTCGATAAAGAAATGGTACCCTTTGTTCAGGTAAATATCAATCTCGAGCAGTTTTTGCACAACAGTACAGCCTAAACCTAATTCTGAGATGCTGTGATCCTCCTGCTGAGACTCGGCCCGTTCAGAAGGGAAAAATCCCAAGCAGTAGCTAGATACTGAGTCGATCATCATCCAGAATTTGAAACCCATATAGATTTCGTCAATGGATATTTCCTGATGAGGAGTGTAATAGTGTTGGGAGACTCTGTTCAAATGATTCAAAAGAGGTTGGAATTTGGCACACGGATCATATCCCAATTCTCCAATTCCAGGCAACTTGCTGTCATCGACGACATGGAAGAAACTTAGTAATTGACAAAAACGCTGTTTAGATAACATTTCCCGAAACCACGAAGCGGATTGGATGGGAGAAGTGCACCAGTATCTAGCTGGATCTGATGATTTTTTGCGACCCAGATTTAAAATACACGCCAGAAATCCTTTCATCTCTGAAACAGAGACTTTGGTCCATTTCTTCAAATGGGACGGTACATTATTTCCCATGCGATTTAACTCTTGCTGCGCATATCGATTGGTTTCCTCCACCATAAGAGACAGCAAAGTACTAGTGAAAAACAGATAAAAATATGCGATAGGAGGAGAATCGGGAGGTGGCATATGTTTTGGGCCAGGTACCTCACGAAAAGGAAAAGGAAAAGGTTGAGGTTCTTCTAATGAAAAAACTTCCCGGTAGTACCGATCTTCCATTTCGTCATCACTGTGACAATGTGCAGCCGAGGTGGAGGGAGTGACCACATCATGTTCAGGTTCATACTCTTCATCGTCAGAACTAGAGAGGGAGGTTAGACTTGAAAAATCCATATCATCTTCAGATTCACAGTATCCAACTTCAAAACTACTTAGATCCGAGTCAAATTCAGAGTAACCTGTCATCCGATCTAAATTCTCCATTTCGAAATCATTGTCAGAAGGGGCAGCCGGGTGGGAGAGAGTTAGTAAAGCTTTATCAACCTCAGGTTCATAGTCGTTTTCTCTAAGACTACGTACATCAGACTCAATTTCAGAGTCACTTGTCATCCGATCGAAATACTCTTCGGAACCACTGGTTTCGCTTTCAGACATTTTGTAGAAAAATCCTATTTAGAATAAAAACCGTATTACTATAGAAAATAATACAATACAGTAGATTCTCGATATTCCGACAGATTCAGTGATCTCCGACAGACTGACACAAATGAAATTTTCTACTTACCACTTGGTATGTGCGACAGATAGAATGAGTTATAGTGCAATATGGGTATGTTATTGTCAGTTGTTTGTTGCAAATGCGGAGCATTGAAGTGTTTTTTGCTGCATTGGTAATTACAGTGGCGCATTATTTTATAAGGTAAAAAATCTGTTGCTTCAGGTTTCACAAAGTGGGCGTCCCTAACAAATCTTTTATTAAAAAATTTTGTATTTATTTCTAAACAATACTCCATTTCTTTCACTCTTAATTTTATTTATAATCGACACATGCATAACAGACAAAACAAATTTTTGAGTGGTCACCCAAAGAAAAAAAATTCTAAAAACAGAAACTACTTTCGGACTAGGCGCTGTTCCATCTGCCATCGCCTAGTTGCATTTTACTTTTAATTTATTTAATTTAAAATACATTCTCCCTATTTCAAATTAATATTGTCTTGCCCCTGTACATTATACTTTTCCGCTAACAATAAAGTCGTGCTGGTGATGTATCTAACATCTTTCAGGAGAAATTTTTTGAATTAAAATAACGTCGTATATAGTTAATTTAGTATAGTATTTCATCTAATTCTGTTTTCGAGACAAAAAAAATGACAGTGGGATTTTATGGGTCTACAATTTGTTCAATTCGCAGCCAAAAAAAAACTGATGGGCGAGCACAAAACACTATGAGAATAGCTACTTTAACACCTGTTGCATCTATTTTCGTAATAAAACATTATATTTCCAAACAAACGTCTTTATGTAGTATTTGCCGAAAGATTTTCTACAATAAAAATTAATCGATTCTAGAATAATTTGACTCAAACATTTTCAAATCACGTATAATTTTTTGGAGATGATTTATATAAAATATGCTATAAACAAGGAATTGTAGAAATACTTATCGAGTGTGCATCGTTCGAACACGCCATTGCTTAAGCATGCTTTTTTCGCGGATCGGTACAATGGAAAACAGACGCGTACCAAGCGTCAGGTGACATTTTACCGTATTCCATTCGGTCATGTGACTACTACTCACTCGACTCGCTTCTCTGACGTGTTTTTAAATAACTTATTCTTAAGTTAACTAAGAAATCTACTAATGTACATAATAAGGAATTTTCACCATTGTTATCAACATCACATTAGTAGTTTTTAGTTAATTTAATTATACCAAGGTCTAAATGCAATTGTTATATTTTAACTTATTGTTGTCGAGTAAGAATTCTTTTATCTTTACAGATATCACGTGATAGATCAATGACGTCATATTTCCTATCACGTGATTTATCTTCGCCTCCGAAGAGTACCGGGCTACAGGTCGATGAACTTTGCATTAGTTACGTTTCCGGTAACGTTCTACAACAAAACAATTTTAAAAAACTAAAATAATAAATAACCGAATTTCTTTAAAATTCAGATTAAATTCCTACAACCCTAAATTATATAAATAGAAATTTCTTATCTAACTTTATAAAAATATTATTTTATTTTAAAATTTAAAATAAANAAAGGGAGGTTAGACTTGAAGAATCCACATCATCTTCAGATTCATAGTCTCCATCTGCAAAACTAGAGAGGGAGGTTAGACTTGAAGAATCCACATCATCTTCAGACTCATAGTCTTCAACTTCAAAACTACTTAGATCAGACTCGAATTCAGAGTCACTTGTTATCCGATCTGAATTCTCAACTTCGAAATTTCTGTCAGAAGAGGCAGCCATTTTCTGGAAAAATCCTATTTAGAATAAAAACCGTATTACAGTAATATAGAAAATAATACTATACAGTAGATTCTCGATATTCCGAGGGATTCAGTGATGCCCGTCAGACTGGCACAAATGAAATTTTCTGATTATCACTTAGTATGTGCGACAGATAGAATGAGGTATAGTACATACTGGTATGTTATTATCAGTTGTTTGTTGCAAAAGCGAAACATTCAAGTGTTTTTGCTGCATTGGTAATTACAGTGGTGCGTTATCCTATAAGTTAAAAAAAATCTATTGCTTGGGGTTTCACGAACAGGGTGTCCCTAACCAATCTTTTATTATAAAATTTTGTATTTACAGTATTTCTAAACAATACTCCGTTTTTTTTCTCTCTAAATTTCATTTACAATTGACACATGCATAATAGACATAAAATAAANATTCAAAACCTTAATTTCGAAAAAATTAGTTTTATAAATTATAAATGCTAATGACGAATAACAAAATAAAGTTCGTCACCACTTGAAATTCGATAAAGTACCCCTTCACCTTTATCCACCCAAATTTAACTGCATTCATCTCCCTAATACACGAACTCGCTAAAAATTTGAGACATTTGCTGGAATGCAAATTATAAAGCTGTAAACTGGATGTACGAAATTACCTTCCGATATACATCCAGAAAAGAAAAAACGAATTTCTAAATAAACTTTGCCTGTTTCGATGAGCATTTAGCCATTTTTTACAATGGCTAAATGCTCATTTTTCTTTTATCTTAAATTTCAAAAATTTTCCTTTTTGAAATTTAAAATAAANCACTGTTTCATCTGTCATTGCTTAGTTGCATCTTATTTTTAATTTATTTAAATTAAAATACATCATCCCTATTTCAAGTTAATAATGTCTTGCCCCTGTACATCATACTTTTCCGCTAACAATAAACTCTTGCCAGTGATCTATCTAACAGGAGAAATTTTTTTAATTAAAATAACGTCGTATATAGTTAATTTTGCCCCTAGGGGTTTCCATACTGGATCTCGTCTTTCATCTAATTCCGTTCTGGAGACAAAGAAATGACAGTGGGATTTTATAGGTCTACAATTCGCAGCCCAAAAAACTGATGGGTGAGCACAAAACAGTATGAGAAACGCTGCTTTAACACTTGTTGCATCTTTTGTTTGTAATAAAACATATTTCCAAACATAAGTCTTTTTGTAGTATTTGTCGATAGGCTTTCTTCCATAAATTTAATCGATCCTAGAATAATTTGAATAATTCGAACATTTCCAAAACACGTATATTTTCTTGGGAATGATTTATATAAAATATGCTATAAACAACGAATGGTAGAAATACTTATCGAGTGTGCATCGTTCGAACACGCCATTCTTAAGCTTGTTTTTGTCGCGGATCGGCACAATGGAAGGCGGCCTCGTACCAAGCGTCACGTGACATTTCATCGTATTCCATTCGGTCATGTGACTACTACTCACTCGCCTGGCATCTCTAACGTGTTTTTAAATAACTTATTCTTAAATTAACTAAAAATTCTACCTATGTGAGGTAGATAATAAGGAATTTTCACCATTATTATCTACATCACATTAGTAAATTTTTAGTTAATTTAATTACACCAAGGGCTATAAGCAATATTTATATTTTAACTTATTCTTGTCGAGTAAGAATTCCCTTATCTTTAGAGACATCACGTGATTTATCTACCACTCTGAAGTGCTCCCGGACTACAGGTTGATAAATTTTGCATTAGTTACGTTTCCGATAATATAGTTACGTTCTATAAGAATACAATTTTTAGAAACTAAAATTACAAAAATATGATTTTATTTTAAAATTTAAATTAATGNTGTGTTGAATATTTTTAAAATTAATTCTGAATCATATCTAAATAATTATTCTGTAATGCAAATTTGTATAAATTCGATACGAACATCTGAAATGATTCGTGGGTGATCACCATCCACATGTTTCTACACTGATTAAGCATGCACTGTACGGGTGTAGAACAGTACATAATAATTAGTTTTACAGCTGAATACTTATCGAATATTCGTACATTAAATAATCTGCGATATTTGCTATTATTTTTAATTTGAAAGCTTTTAAAACTGGTTAAATTGAATGCGAAAAAAAAAATCATTTCGAAATTGCTCCTATTTTTACTTTCTCTATATATTTTAGTGCTGTTCTTATCTTTTAGAAATGACTGAATTTGCAAACTATTATTGTATTATTAGAATCATAAATTAAAAACTTATTCTCATAAATATTGTTTCTTATTACGAAAAATGAGATTTCGTTATTAACTTTTCTCTATAATCGTAATCTTTTCGTTTTATTTAGTCTTTGTGTACGAATGTAATTTTTTATGTAAATTTGTTTAAACATCGTTGAAACTTAAACCTAATTGAAAGATTAAATACACATTCCTATGATTATGAATTTAAATATCTTCAACAAACTGTAATTTGAGTGTTATAAACAACTGAGGAAGCCAAAAATAATAGATTATCCGTTTATTGCAATTGTTCAATTCAAACAAGAAAACCTGAGTTGATATTTGCTTATTTATTACAGTATTCACGAAATATTTACCAAATGCTCTATTAAAGCTTTATCGACTTTTTATTTATACATGCTTAACTTCTATTTGGAATATTTTTCACTTCACACGATTACATATAGATTATCACCAAAATATTATGATTACTTATATTTATTTCTGGCTGTTTATATTTGGAAATCGTCATTCTAATAATATTTTCATGCAAATTTGTCGAGAATTACAATTTACAGATTAATTTCTCAGAGACAAATTGAATTTATAATGAAAGTATGGAAAAATTCTGAATTATTCATTTTTACTAAATAAAAGCGTTTCCACAGCATAAGTCATATTTGACCATTCAACATCACTAAAATGCTTAAAGATATTTTTTTAATATATAAATAATAATATTANATAGCGATACTCGGATGGTACGAAATAACACAATTTCATTGGTAAAGTAGACACCAATTGAAAATATATGTTAAATTTTTAACATGTTTGTACTGACAAACTGTTTTATTCATCAAACAGTAATCTGCCGACCAATCAATTTTGGCGAAAAATACACCAAAGATTTAAACTCGCACTATAGAAAACTATTTAAAACATAT